CTCAAGAGGAGACAGGAATTGGAAGATATGGGAAGAAGTGCCAGATCAGCCCTGAAAACATGCTAATCCACCTGCTGACAATGACAGGAAAGGCCTGACCCCCCCCCACCCCCCGCAGTGCCTGGGAGTTTGAAAAGAAAAAAACCAACCGCTGAACCCCTATTTGAAGTCTTCCCCATCAAAGTATCTGCAGGTGCACATTAGAAAGGCCTTGGCCTCATAAATAACCCAATGGCATTTGGAACAGGATAGCTCAACCCCGTTGGTCCAGGGTTGTCTGCAACTGACCTCTCACTTCTTGCTAGCAAAGCAAAGCCTGTGAGTATAGCATTCTAAGATAGAGGCTCAGGGGACACTTGGAGGCCTCAAAGCCAGGCCTACTGGCCTTGGACCACACCCTTGAAGCTACTTGCTTCAGAGCCCCTATCTCCTTGGAATCTTGGGTGACAGGAGGGGCTCTTTCTGGTTCATTCTAGAGGAATAATGAGAAACCCACGAACACAGTAAATCTGAGACAGGACTGATCAGAGGGGCAAGACTAAACTTTGAGATGATTCCTTTTGTTTTCCCCCCTATATATTCTGTTAGCTAAAGATGAGGTTTAAGACAGATGTTTAGAATATTAAACCACTGTCTTCTCAGATTGCTGACTCTGAATAAAACACAGTTTAAAGATTCAGTTCCTGGTTTTTGCCCATGTTTCAGCGGCACACACCCAGTTACACCAGTAGAGAACCAGAGACCTAGACAGACTAGACAGGAGGGCAGAAGGTAACTGGATCCTACAAGTTGGGAACCCAGGGATCAGGGCTTGCAAAGATGTCGACCCCTCCTCCACTCCTCTAGCCAGCCAGTTTAGTTACACCTCCTTGGTGGGTCTTCTTAGTCCCAGAAATCGCATTCTGTTTTTAACCTGGACATTGTCAGACAGTGTGGAAAGACCGTGGGTTACTCCGTGGAGTCTGGAGTCTGCCCTACTCCTCACTCCAGTAAGACAGAGGTAGGGATGGTGAGAAAGTTGGTGTTCACCTAGGGAGTTCAGGACTCATAAACTGTCCCCAGCTTGTCCCCAAACCATGCAACTCCACTGCTTATCTTCAGAGCCCTGTTGCCAGAGGCTCGGCCAGGGCCGGGGGACTCCAAGGCACGGGGACCAGTGGAAGATGGCCCAGTGGGGCGGTGTGGAGAGGGCCGAGACCATACCCTCCCACTTCCTCGACGCTATTTCCTGGGAGGAGTCGGAGCTCGTTGGATAGTGTCCAAGAGATTCGCAGACTCTGCTCCCAAGTACTTTGCAGTGGGTGATCTCCAAGTGCCGCCAGCACCTTCCTTTAGACATGGTAGCATCAGGACTGCAGCAAATGTCGTATGACCTCTAAGGGCACCCGCGGCCAATTCTGTGTGTCGGCTCGTTGGTCTAGGGGTATGATTCTCGCTTCGGGTGCGAGAGGTCCCGGGTTCAAATCCCGGACGAGCCCATTATTATTATTTTTTCTTTGTGGAACCACA